CCAAACGGGTTCTAAAAAAAGTAATATCAAAATTCGGGACCCTCAAATTTGGAAGCAAATTTATGAGTCAAACTCTCAAAAAGGAAAAACGTAACCATAAGAGATTTTGGCTGGAGCTTCGCCACTCTTGGAAACAAGAAACAGCCAGGAGGAGAGAAATCTCCAACCCTTAGTTTCCAAGAAGGGCGACATCTTATTGCATAACCATTATTAGATGATGATGATGATGATTATTATTATTATTATTATTATAGCACCCTTCGATGTAATATTGTAGTTTCATTTATTGCTTTCAAAGCTTCGATGAAAAAAAATCCACCAAAAGTTGTTACTCCTTCCATTTAACCATGGTAGTTTTAATTTAATTTTTTTAATTTTTAAGTTAAAATGTTTGTGAAAATATTTTTTGATTAAGTAAAATAACTAAATAATAATTACACATAGGGAAAAAAAATTAATTAACATTATATTAAAAGTCAAATTAGAAAGGTGTAATTTTTTTACTGGCCTCTAACAACTAACTAGCTAGTGCTCCAATTCGAGGGAGGGAACACAAATGGTAACTTCTGAAATTGCTGAATCCAAGATTTTTACAATAGCTACATTCTATATAAAATTATAAAATTATAGTATAGAAATTATTAATAAATAGTACTTCAAATGCAATAAATTTTAGAAAGAGTTGGTGTTTTACTATATAAATTACAAAATATTAATTATTGGATGGAGAGTATTGTCATGATATCAAGAGTCACTCTTAATCTAATAGTTAATATTTGTAATTTAATACACTTTAAATTGTAAATAGTACTTCAAATGCAATAAATTTTAGAAAGAGTTGGTGTTTTACTATATAAATTACAAAATATTAATTATTGGATGGAGGGTATTGTCATGATATCAAGAGTCACTCTTAATCTAATAGTTAATATTTGTAATTTAATACACTTTAAATTGTAAATATTTTTTTAATTTAGAAAACTTGATAATTTAGAAAAAAAATTATTTCTTTTATAAAAATTTATAAGTTAAAAATTGTGTTAAAAATAAATATTAAAAATATTATTTTTATTTTTTATTTATTATAATTTTAAAGTATGTAAATACTAAAATATCCTTATAAAATCCATAAAAACCTTCTAAGGTTATAATTATGGCCATATATTAATTTATTAAAACCACATAATATTATTAAGAAATATTGATTTAATTTAATTTAATTATTAAAA